ACTAGCCAATAGGATTCAACAGTACATTAAAAGGATTATTCACCACGACCGAGTGGCATTTATTCCAGGGATGCAAGGTTGGTTCAACATCTGCAAATCAATCAATGTGATACGACACACTGATGAAAGAAAGAACAAGAACCATATGATACTCTCCATAGATGCTGAAAAAGCATTTGACAAAGTACATCATCCCTTCCTGATCAAAATTCTTCAGAGTGTAGGGATAGAGGGCACATACCTCAATATCATCAAAGCCATCTATGAAAAACCCACCACAAATATCATTCTCAATGGAGAAAAACTGAAAGCTTTTCCGCTGAGGTCAGGAACACGGCAGGGATGTCCATTATCACCACTGCTATTCAACATAGTACTAGAAGTCCTATGCCTAGGACTAGATCAGCAATCCTAGCCTCAGCAATCAGACAACAAAAGGAAATTAAAGGCATCCAAATTGGCAAAGAAGAAGTCAAACTATCACTCTTCGCAGATGATATGATACTATATGTGGAAAACCCAAAAGACTCCACTCCAAAACTGCTAGAACTTGTACAGGAATTTAGTAAAGTGTCAGGATTTAAAATCAATACACAGAAATCAGTTGCATTTCTCTACACCAACAACAAGACAGAAGAAAGAGAAATTAAGGAGTCAATCCCATTTACAATTGCACCCAAAACTGTAAGATACCTAGGAATAAACCTAACCAAAGAGGCTAAGAATCTATACTCAGAAAACTATAAAGTACTCATGAAAGAAATTGAGGAAGACACAAAGAAATGGAAAAATGTTCCATGCTCCTGGATTGGAAGAACAAATATTGTGAAAATGTCTATGCTACCTAAAGCAATCTACACATTTAATGCAATCCCTATCAAAATTCCACCCATTTTTTTCAAAGAAATGGAACAAATAATCCTAAAATTTATATGGAACTAGAAAAGACCTCGAACAGCCAAAGGAATATTGAAAAAGAAAGCCAAAGTTCGTGGCATCACAATTCCGGACTTCAAGCTCTATTACAAAGCTGTCATCATCAAGACAGCATGGTACTGGCACAAAAACAGACACATAGAGATCAATGGAACAGAATAGAGAGCCCAGAAATAGACCCTCAACTCTATGGTCAACTAATCTTCGACAAAGCAGGAGAGAATATCCAATGGAAAAGAGACAGCCTCTTCAATAAATGGTGTTGGGAAAATTGGACAGCCACATGCAGAAAAATGAAATTGGACCATTTCCTTACACTACACACCAAAATAGACTCCAAATGGATGAAGATACTCAATGTGAGAAAGGAATCCATCAAAATCCTTGAGGAGAACACAGGCAGCAACCTCTTCGACCTCAGCCGCAGCAACGTCTTCCTAGGAACATCACCAAAGGCAGGGGAAGCAAGGGCAAAAATGAACTATTGGGATTTCATCAAGATCAAAAGCTTTTGCACAGCAAAGGAAACAGTTAACAAAACCAAAAGACAACTGACAGAATGGGAGAAGGTATTGGCAAACGACATATCAGATAAAGGGCTAGTGTCCAAAATCTACAAAGAACTTAGCAAACTCAACACCCAAAGAACAAATAATCCAATCAAGAAATGGGAGAAGACATGAACAGATATTTCTGCAAAGAAGACATCCAGATGGCCAACAGACACATGAAAAAGTGCTCCACATCACTCGGCATCAGGGAAATACAAATTAAAACCACAGTGAGATATCACCTCACACCAGTCAGAATGGCTAAAATTAACAAGTCAGGAAATGACAGATGCTGGCAAGGATGCGGAGAAAGGGGAACCCTCTTTACACTGTTGGTGGGAATGCAAGCTGGTGCAACCACTCTGGAAAACAGCATGGAGGTTCCTCAAAATGTTGAAAATAGAACTACCCTATGACCCAGCAATTGCACTACTGGGTACTTACCCTAAAGATACAAACGCAGTGATCCGAAGGGGCACGTGCACCCGAATGTTTATAGCAGCAATGTCTACAATAGCCAAACTATGGAAAGAACCTAGATGTCCATCAACAGACGAATGGATAAAGAAGATGTGGTATATATACACAATGGAATACTATGCAGCCATCAAAAGAAATGAAATCTTGCCATTTGCGACGACGTGGATCGAACTGGAGGGTATCATGCTTAGCGAAATAAGTCAATCAGAGAAAGACAACTACCATATGATCTCCCTGATATGAGGGAGAGGAGATGCAACATGGGGGGTTAAGGGGGTAGGAGAAGAATAAATGAAATAAGATGGGATTGGGAGGGAGACAAACCATAAGTGACTCTTAATCTCACAAAACAAACTGAGGGTTGCTGGGGGGAGGGGGGTTGGGAGAATGGAGGTGGGGTTATGGACATTGGGGAGGGTTATGTGCTATGGTGAGTGCTGTGAAGTGTGTAAACCTGGCGATTCACAGACCTGTACCCCTGGGGATAAAAATATATGTTTATAAAAAATTAAAAAAAAGAAAAAAGAAAAAATAATAATAAAAAATAAAAAATAAAAAAATAAAAACAGACACATAGACCAGTGGAACAGAGTGGAGAGCCCAGATATGGACCCTCAACTCTATGGTCAAATAATCTTCGACAAAACAGGAAAAAAGACAGTTTCTTCATAAATGGTGCTGGGAAAACTGGACAGCTATACGTAGAAGAATGAAACTCGACCATTCTTTTACACCGTACACAAAGATAAACACAAAATGGATAAAAGACCTCAACATAAGACAGGAATCCATCAGAATCCTAGAGGAGAACATAGGCAGTAACCTCTTCAATATCAGCCACAGCAACTTCTTTTAAGATATGTCTCCAAAGGCAAAGGAAACAAAAGCGAAAATGAACTTTTGGGACTTCATCAAGATCAAAAGCTTCTGCACAGCAAAGGAAATAGTCAACAAAACAAAGAGGCAACCCATGGAATGGGAGAAGATATTTGCAAATCACAGTACAGACAAAAGGTTGATATCCAGGATCGATAAAGAACTCCTCAAACTCAACACACACAAAACAGATAATCATATCAAAAAATGGGCAGAAGATATGAACAGACACTTCTCCAATGAAGACATACAAATGGCTATCAGACACATGAAAAAATGTTCATCATCACTAGCCATCAGGGAGATTCAAATTAAAACTACATTGAGATACCACCTTACACCAGTTAGAATGGCCAAAATTAGCAAGACAGGAAACAACATGTGTTGGAGAGGATGTGGAGAAAGGGGAAACCTCTTACACTATTGGTGGGAATGCAAGTTGGTGCAGCCTCTTTGGAGAACAGTGTGGAGATTCCTCAAGAAATTAAAAATAGAGCTTCCCTATGACCCTGCCATTGCACTACTGGGTATTTACCCCAAAGATACAGATGTAGTGAAAAGAAGGGCCATCTGTACCCCAATATTTATAGCAGCAATGGCCACAGTCACCAAACTGTGGAAAGAACCAAGATGCCCTTCAACAGACGAATGGATAAGGAAGACGTGGTCCATATACAGTATGGAGTATTACGCTTCCATCAGAAAGGATGAATACCCAACTTTTGTAGCAACATGGACGGGACTGGAAGAGATTATGCTGAGTGAAATAAGTCAAGCAGAGAGAGTCAATTATCATATGGTTTCACTTATTTGTGGAGTATCAACAAATATTGATCACATAAATGAATGAATGAATCTTGTGATTGCTTCCCAATCCAAACTAGATGCCAGTTATTATTCCTTCAAGTTGCATACCACCACATTTCTACTTTTCTTATGGTAAGTCATATTCCCTGTTGTATTAAGAATCAATTTGTATCTTATCTTAGTATGAAAGTATCAAGAATCATGTCTTATTTCTCTTTGTATCCCCTATACTTACTAGCATCATTTCTTTCTTATAAAAGAAACCCAGTATTTCTTAACTGAATTTTAAATCATACTGAAAGTCCTGGATCTCTTTTTATCCTTTAGCAAACAGACCAATACCAATTCTTAAATTCCTAAAGTATATTCTGCATTTATAACCAACCAGCAAATTTAATTCAAGAAGAGAGATGTAGCCTGGCTTAGAGATGCCTGACATCCATTTTGTACTGATGTGGTAACTACAGAAAACATTTTGAATGATGTTAAGTCGAAAGATTTTTCAGAAGACAGTAAAAACTACTTGTGAGAAAGCTGCTTCAAACTTGATCCATTCAGGGGGGTATAGCTCAGTGGTAGAGCATTTGACTGCAAACTTGATCCATTCAGGAATTCTACGAAAAAAGAACGAACACTACACAGCACATTTCTTATAAACAAATAACCAAAAAGCAAACTAATACAAAAAGATTTTTTTTAAGAAAACAAATTCCAGCATCACTATCAAAATTAATAATTAATTGAGCCAAACACAGTTCATTAACTGGTATTTTTTTTGAAAGATTTTATTTATTTATTTGACAGGCAGAGATCACAAGTAGGCAAAGAGGCAGGCAGAGAGAGAGAGAGCATGGAGGAAGTAGGCTCCCTGCTGAGTAGAGAGCCGATATGATATGGGGGCTCAACCCCAGGACCCTGGGATCATGACCTGAGCCAAAGCAGAGGCTTTAACCCACTCAGCCACACAGGCACCCCATTAACTGGTATTTTTAACAACCTTTTTAACAAAACTGAAATCACCAAGACTAAATTATGATCAATATGTTGAAAAATACATACTTTGAGTTTTAGACTTTCGCCAAATCAGTTAAAATTAAAAGGTATGATTCTAAAAAGGTTAAACTTTCATCATCAAGAAAAGTAAACTGAACAGGAATTTATTTCCCAAGACTTATGGACAAGCAGGACTTTTATTTTTTCGTCAAATTCTATGAAAACCGATAATCCATAATCATAGTGATAAAAATTTCTGATAGGCTAGACTAGAACTCTCTAAGCACAAGAAGTAACTACATTAAAAATGAATGATACAGTAAAAACAATGTCTTGCCTTATACAGTGTTAGCTCACCTGAGGTATGAGTCTATCCAAGTGCTCAGCTCGATTTCCATGAGAAGGGTGTGTGGATAACCATTCTGGCAACCTGGGATGGCCCTGGAGACGATCTGCAAATTCCATCTGCTGCCAAAACACCGAACTGGCTCTGACGTCCACACAAGCCTAAAACCAGAATTAATTTTTTAAAAATGAGCCTAGTTATGAAAACATTTTTAAAAATGTATATCATTATGTTTTAAAGATATTTTCTATCATTATTTGCAAATGACATATCTGATAAAGGGCTAGTGCCCAAAATAGAAAAAGAACTCATAAAACTCAATATTCAAAAAATAAATAATCCAATTAAAAATGGGCAGAAGACATGAACAGAGATTTATTTCATCAAAGAACACACACAAATGGCCAACAGACACACGAAAAGATGTTCATCATCACATCGTCAGGGAAATGCAAATCAAAACCACAATGAGATACCACCTCATACCTGTCAGAACGGATAAAATAAAAAACAAAAGAAACAACAGGTAATGGCAAGGATCTGGAGAAAAAGGAACACTCGTGCACCGCTGATGGGAATACAATGTGGTGCAGCCACTGTGGAAAATAGTATGGAGGTTCTTCAAAGAATTAAAATTAGAGCTACCCTGCAATCCTGCAATCACACTACTGGGTACTTACCCAAAAGATAGAAGAACACTAATTCAAATGGATATATGACCCCTATATTTATAGCAGCACTACTTATAACAGCCAAGATACGGAAGCAGCCCAAGTGTCTAGTGATCAACGAATGAATAAAGAAGATGTGGTATATGGGCGCCTGGGTGGCTCAGTGGGTTAAGCCGCTGCCTTCGGCTCAGGTCATGATCTCAGGGTCCTGGGATCGAGTCCCGCATCGGGCTCTCTGCTCAGCAGGGAGCCTGCTTCCCTCTCTCTCTCTGCCTGCCTCTGTCTACTTGTGATCTCTCTCTGTCAAATAAATAAATAAAATCTTAAAAAAAAAAAGAGATGTGGTATAATACACACACACACACACACACACAGGAATATTACTGAGCCATCAAAAAGAATCTTGCCATTTGCAGTGACATAGATGGAGCTAGACAGCAAAATAAATCAGAGAAAGACAAATACCATGTGATTTCACTCATGTGCAATTTAAGAAACAAAACAAACAAGCAAAGGTAAAAAAATAAGAGAAAGACAAAGCAAGAAACAGACTCTTAACTACAGAGAACAAACTGATGATAACTAGGGGGGAGGAGGATGAGGGGAAAGGTGAAATAGGTGGTGGGGATTAAGGAGTTCATTTATCATGATGAGCACTAGGTGTTGTATGGAACTGCTGAATCACTAAATTATAACCTGAAAAAATATAACTCTGTATGTTAACTGGAATAAAAATAAAAATAAAAACAAAATAAAACAAAACAAATGAAAAGGTAGCAAGAAAAAAAAATAAAAATGATTGCAATGAAAAAAAAATTTCTAGCATTTTAATTAAAAGTAGAATGTGCTCATTGCTTTAAAAAAAAAACAACTCACACAACATGGTATTAAAGAAGCCAAAGCTACTCCTGTACAATACTCACAGTAATTGCACTCCCAGAGATAACCCACTATTTTCAATATGACAGGTATTAAGAACACGTATTGAGGGAAAAAATCTTCCACACAAATTAATATTTTGTTTTCAGAAAAATAAGGATTTAAAATCTCATCTATTATTAAACTGCATTATAGAAATTTTATTCTTAATCTATACCACTAGAATAATTAAAAGACTTCAACTTAAAGAAACGAAATTATATTTTGTTTTATTTTTAATGTGCCTATCAATTTTCCTAGTTTTCCTCAGTGTGTGTGCTAAAGAACATATTTAAGTCATTCAAAATATTTATAAAAGTTTATCTTTTTTAACAAATAAGATATACATGTCTTGTATATTTGTGCATAATTCCATCAGACACTCATATACATATACTTATCTATACAAAGAACAATTCTAGAAGGAATTTAAGAAACTGTTAATAGTAGTAGCTACCCTAAGAGTATAAGTAGGGTGTTTGATGATGGAGAAAGAGCAGGACTTTTATTTCTGAATTATATGAAGTATATTACTTTTATAATATAATTACTTCCAAATCCTATGTAGGGTGATTCACTAAATATTATAATAAGCCTGTTCAATTTATTGACATTTCCAATTTTTTCTGTAAGCAGTGATTGGCTAAAGTGATTATATTTCTCAACTAGCTTACTTTTGATTATGACAATTAAGAAAAAACTCATACTGTACTGTAAAATGTGATATCAAAAAGCATTAATATGCTTTTTGGCCTTAAAACAGTGAGATTGTGACACACAAAAAAGCAAATACACAATATCACGCTGATCTAGTCAACATCCATGCCACTCTGTTTTTAACAAACACCATCAAAATATTTTCAGGGGCGCCTGGGTGGCTCAGTGGTTAAAGCCTCTGCCTTCGGCTCAGGTCACGGTCCCAGGGTCCTGGGATCGAGCCCCGCATCGGGCTCTCTGCTCAGCGGGGAGCCTGCTTCCTCCTCTCTCTCTCTGCCTGCCTCTCCACCTACTTGTGATTTCTGTCTAATAAATAAATAAAATATTAAAAAACAAAACCAAAACAAAACAAAACAAATATTTTCAAATGCTGGGAAAATGAAAAGAAAAAATAATTTGAAATCCAAGTAGATTTTATTCAGTGTTTAAAACAATACAATTGTTTTTATCGTGGTAAAATATATAAAAAAATTTGCCATCTTAACCCTTTTTAAGTGTACAGTTCACAGGTATTAAATACACTCACACTGATGTGCAGCCACCACCATGAACCATCCTTATAGCTCATTTTGTATACAGCTCTTAAATAATTCTCCCTTCTCCTCTCACCCCCATCCTGGATGACTACCATTACAAACTCTGTCTTTATGATTCTAACTACTCTAAGCACCTCATACAAATGAAATCGTACACTATTTGTCATCTTGTGACTGCCTTACTTCACTTAGCTTCCATGTCCTTAAGGTTCATCCAGTATTAGAGCATACTGCAGAATTTCCTTCCTTTTTAATACTGAACAGTATCTTGTACGTCTATACCACATATAAGATTTTGCTTATCCATTCTTTGGTCAGGGGACACTTGGGTTGCTTTCACATTTTAGCTACTGTGAATAATGCTGCTATGAACACGGTTATACAAATACATTTTTGAGGACATTTTCAATATGTTGAGGAATATATCCGGAAGTGGAGCTGCTGGATCGTATGGTCGTTGAATTTAAATATTTTTGTGAAACTACAACACCATTTTCACAGTGGCTTACCATTTTACATTCTCACCAACAATGCACAAGAGTTCCAATTTCTTCACATTTTCACCAACATTTGTTAATTTCTGTTCTTATGACAGTAGCCATCCTAATGAGTATGAGGTAATATCTCATTATAGTTTTGATTTGCATTATCTAATGATCAGTGATGTTGAGAATCTTTTTCTGTGCTTAGTGGCATTGACGTATCTTCTTTGGAGACATGTCTATTCAAGTTCTTCGTCCATTTTGCAATCAGATCTTTTGTGTTATTGTTAGGTTTTAAAAATCCTCTGTATTCTGGATATTAATTGCTTATCAGATATATGATTAGCAAATGTTTTCTCCCAGTCTGTGGGTTGTCTTTTTACTGTGATGGTGTCTTTTGATGCAAAAACTTTTTTTAATTTTCATGAAGTTCAATTTGCCTAATTTTTTTCTTTTGTTACCTGTGTCTTTGGTGTCATATCCAAGGTATCATGATCAAATCCAATGTTGTGACATTTTGATCCTGTATATTTTTTCTAGGAGTCTTACTATTTTAGGTTTTACACTTAGGTTCCTGATCCATTATCAATTATTTTTTGTATACAGTATTATGTAAGGGTCCAATTTCATTCTTTTTCTGGATATCCAGTTTTCCAGCATTATTTATTGAAAAGACTGTCCTTTGCCCATTTTCCATCCTTGACAAAAACTAATTTCTAGGCTATTTTATTCCATTGGTCCATGTCTTTCATGTCAATACCACAGTTTTGATTACTGTACCTGTGTAGCAAGTTTTGAAATCTGAAGTGTGAGCCCTCCAGTTTTATTCTTTTTCAAGACTGTTTCGGCTACTCAGGTCCTTTAAGACTGCGTATGAATTTTAGATTTAGTTTTCCCATTTCTACCAAAAAGCAAGCAAAAAAAAAGCTCTGGGATTTTGACAAGTACTGTAAGGAATCTATAGATTATTTTGGGCACTACTGACATTTTTAAAATATTAAGTTTTCCAGTAAATGAACATAGGATCTTCCTATTTCTTTGTCTTGTTTCAGCAATGAATTTTTAGTTATCACTGTGTGTCTTTCACCTCCTTGGTTAATTCCTAAATCTTTTATTCTTGCTGAGGTTATTCTAAGTGGAGTTGTTTTTATAATTTCCTTTTCAAATTGTTCTTTGTTCATGTACAGAAATGAATTTTTGAGTGTTGACACTGTATCCTGATACTTTGCTGAATTAACTAAGTTCAAACCGCCTTTTTTGCAGTCTTTACAGTTTCCTACATATACAATCATATCATCTGCCAACAAAGATAATTTTACTGCTACCTCTCCAATGTGGATAACTCTTACTTCTTTTTCTTGCTCTAACTACAAACTTCCAGTATTATGTTGAACATAAGTGAAGTGAAAGTGGACATCCTCGCCTTGTCCCTGAACTTATACAAAAAGCTTTCAGTCTTTTACCACTGAGTAATATGTTTGTTGTGAGTCTTTCATATGTGGCTTTTATTACGTTGATGTAGTTTCCTTCCATTCTTATTTTGTTGAGTTTTTTAATCATGAAAGGTGTTAAATATTCTCAAAAAATTTTTACATCAATTGAAATGATCATGTGGGGTTTTTTCCCTTCCTTTTGTTAGATGTGGCATATTACCTTGATCAAGTTTTATATGCTGAACCATGCTTGCATTCTAGAAATAAAGCTTTCTTGGTTATGGTGCATATCCTTTTAGAATGCTACTGAATTCTGTTTGCTAGTATTTTGTTGGGGACTTCTACATCAATGTCTTTAAGGAATACTGGTCTATAGTTTGCTTGGAGTATCTTTGTCTTTGTAT